GATTTATCGGTTTAAGATTGGCCATTGGGGTGGAGGAAAATTAAATCACCATTTCGAAAGATCCCTACCAACTTCATTGTGACTATTTTTTATGTGACAGAAGAAATGAAATGAAAAAAATTCCCTCATGGCGCAGTTAGGTTAGGTTAGGTTAGGTTAGGTTAGGTTAGGTTAGGTCCAAAGTGAGTGGGTCTATTCTACCCTCCGCCGCAACCCGCAAGGGTTTATTGTGGCTCACACCTACTCACACTCGACAAAATAAACCCAGCTTCTTGACGAAGCCGATTAGTTTGTATGGTCTTTCAGGTCATATGTTAAGAATACGGCTCTGCCGAACTATAAAAACCTGATCCGGTCCCCAGCAGGGCAGACACAAAGTATATGCTCTGCTGTTTCATCGTTAATGAGGTAGTCGGATAGTCAAGGTGCAAGATTCTCATCTTGATACCGGCGACAACCTTTCCATATGAGGGTTTTTGCACGTCAGCTACACCTGACGATGCCTTAGATTCCACCACTTGAGAGTACATGTTTGTTAACCCGCTCATGGGAGGTTTGTTCCTCCACCTGAGACAGATTTTGCGAACGCTGCTCAAGAATTTGGTGCAATGCGGTTTCAGAAACATTACGTCGTAAGATTTGGCTCAATTTGAATTCGTAGAGAAAATAAAAAGAAAGGAAAATAAAAACGAAAGGAGCAGCATCAACTTTTATCTATCGTTCTAGACTCCATTTGTGATTAACTTTATAGCATCATCTCTTGTCACACTTAGTTTTTCATCGGATCCAACATGATGAGAAAATTATCTCTCTTCATTGAAAAATAATCCACTTTTATAACTTTTTGATTGCCAATCATGAACTCCTTGAACTTTATATTATCATTCGAATTGTTACTCAAATAGTGAAGATCACAAAGGGTAAAATCATGTTTGCATTTATATCAGTAATATTCGACACTAAGAGGACCAATATGGGGCGATTTGGATTTCTGAAAGCTCTAGAACGTAGAAATATTTCCAAAAATCGATCTATAAAAAGGTGATCTTTTAAGCAGGACTATAAAACAACAAACTCATTTCCGTGTTCGAGTAATACGTTATCATGGAACCGTTTTTCTATTTTTTTCTCAGTACCTTCATTTTGGAATCTGTTAATAAGGATTGACGATGGAATAAGCAACTCATTCTGATCTAGAAACTCTCTAAATGAGACCCCTGTAATCCACTTCACAATTGTATGCTCAAGCCAGAGCAAAAATCAACACCTCCAAAACACTGCACAAGAAATCGATTTTACATAAAGCTCAAACGTGATCCTGTAGAGCTTCGCAATGGCTGAAAAGAGCATCATCTTTCACGCCAGACTAGACTTTATCCAGTGGTCAGCGTATTTATGGATTTCACTGGAGAATTTCTCTCCATTTCACTTTAAGGAACGAAGTGAATAGTGAAAATGGATATGTCCAACATTAACAGGTTTCAACCGAAAGATATCCCTTTTATTAAAATAACGATAATGTTTCTATTTCGATTTGGTTCAGATCCAATCACAGGAAGTATATGATAATATATCCCTAACGGAGATATTGTCCAAGGTGTTTTTGGTGGTCAGCAGTTAGTTCCAAAAAGATATAACGTAGATAACACTGATATTAGAAGTTGTAGAGATCAGTGATAACATTTACCACAATAAGAACATGTATGTCAACACAAATCAAGGATAAAAGCAGACTCAGATTCGACTCCTACAGAATACCGAGCTCAATCTTAACTGTAGAGGATGAGCTAGTGTCCAAGACAACTTGATGGATAGATTTGGAATACTTTTTCCACACCAGAACCATATCAATGTCTGTTGACGCGAGTTCAACACGAGACATTGCTTTGTTCTAGTGTGGGAAAAAACTTAGAACTCATACCTTGAAGAAGGACTAGGTTGAAAAAAGGGTTGAAGGAAATAGCACTAGAAGCAGAAACTCAATTCCAATGAACATTCAACCATATATTTCGAATGAGACCATCTGGGTGTTCATCATATCGTTGATAAAATTGATAAACAATAGACGTTGCTTCTGCGGTAAAGGCTTTTAATCGAGTTCAGTCAATTACGTTATCGCCTTTCACAATTTCATAAATGAGATATTAAAAAGGCTACCTCACCACGGTAATAATTTTTTGTGATTTATGGCCGTCCACATACCTCATAACTGAAATTAATATCAGGTAGCAGAGTGTTGAAGTATCTGAAAGGATCTCATTTGCATAGATCTTCGGCTACCAGTTGTTTGACGGTGGGATTAGTTCCGAAATATGAGTGCAATATTGGGGTTTTTGGTTATCTGTGAATAATTACTTCCATAATAAATCAAGAGAAATTTCTGTTCTATCACATACAATCCTGATCAGTTCATCATTCACCAGTCCCTTCAAACAGGCACTCACAATGAAAATATCAGATGGTAGAGGTTGATGAGGAATCACGAAAATGATCTAGCGTTTCGCTGACCAAGTTAGCAAGTTGTCATCTTCTGATGGTCTAACTTGGTAAGGACATCTCACAAATCGGTTTTGAATTTCAGACACAAACTGAAAGAAAGTCCTCCTGAAAAAATCGTTATTCATGAATGAATTATGTGTATTTTCTATAATGTTATCCAATTTGGTACTGAAGAGCCTTAGGGCAAGCGTCTTACGGCGAATCATCGATGTATACCAGTGAGGATGAAAGTGTTCCATGTAAGTGCAATTTGTTACCATTCTTTCAAAGTAGAACTCATGTGAATGATATCTGATTTTATTTCACAACGAATGTTTGAAATACAAACTGAGTAGAGAAAATTATCTTCAGTTTAATTCAGTGTTCATATAGAAGTATTTGTTTCGAAAGAATTTTTTTTTCTTGTAATTCAATGTTTATATGAAAGTAGCTGTTTCAGGAGGACTTTATTTCAGTTTGTGTCTGAAATTTACTTCTTTGCATGATCTACACATCCATGTATAGAGTTACTTATTTTCAAATTGATTACTTCCTTCCTTTTTTTGGAAGATTCCCTCATCTTTTTTGTATCAAGACGGAGAAGTAGATAGCCGAAAACTTTCTTTCCCAAGAAACATAAGTACATTTGTTTATATTAAGTTCCAACTTGGTAAATATCGTATACTAAGGAAGCTAAACGTATGTTTTTTGATAACCAAAATTTTATTTATACCAGAAAAGTAGCCCCAGACTTCTATATCGTAGAAAAAATGGAAATGAACAACGGCACGTTTATTGAGAACTGATGTTCAACGTCTCATTGCATAGTTCCATCAACAAAATAGGGAAGTCTAATCATAACTCGCTGCTTTTGCACCAGATGCAGATCCTTGGGAACACCGTATTCAACCAACTTAAGAATCAATTTTGGATCATGTAACGAAGTTTCGCTTTCCCAGAATGCTATCTCGAACTTCATTTCAATATTGGTCCTTCGAGCCGGATCCATTTGAAAGAAAGCTACAAGCATTCTGTTGTCGCTTGGGACCCCGCCAATGGGGTCGAAGCTCGGGCTTCCCGATAACTCATTCAGCATAAACACCTTCCATGCAGTAACGTGTCACTATATCATAACACATTAATGAGATATGCATGCAGGCAGGTGTGATATAGTGGCCTGCGTAATTCTGCAGGGCCAGCTAGCCAGTTACATGCACACACAGAGGGAGCGAGCGACGCTAATCCCTGCATGATTAACACCATAAATTTGACGAGGATTAGCGAGATGGCCATCGCGGACTGAGGCCTACACGGTGGGATGGAATTGTCGTGTAAATGTCAGGTGTGAGAAACTATCGAATAAAACTACAAATATTGTCTCGATAAAAGAGTTTAGGAGTCGAAAATGAGTCGAGCTACAACAGCAGCTGATCCGTGAACATTGTAATTCTTTTACGAAATTCTAACTGACATGTTGTCCATCTTGACCGACATACATCCTCAACCCCAATTGTTGACACACAATTTTTCCAACAATCGAATGGTCGTTATCAGAGTAAATAAAAATTTCGATAACCGCTTCTTCAAAGCGAAAGCTGTAGCGATCCACTTCTCCGGTGTTGTGTTTACCCGGGCGAAGGAGCGGCGAAACGTCAAAGAAGTCGAACACATGTAAACATGTGTTGGAGAGATAACCAGTGGTTGTTAGCCCTCGTGTTGATTTTCTTGTCAGACGATAAGAAAACACGTAGTCGCATTATGTCCCCACAAAAAAATAAGTGTCTTATTTATGATCGGTAATTTATTGAAGTTAGCCGAGGAAGCCATCGATCATTCCTAGAGGTGGATGTGATGAAATGCAGATATATATCGTAATGAGTTTATTCCGATAAGAACGGTCCCTTAAGATAAGGCAATGAAGACAAATGCTCTCAATTAAAATCTGCAGGTGAAGAAAAATACAGTGCATTTTTTAATGTCTCCCCCGTTTAATTTTTTGAACGGATCAACTCAAAAAATTTAAATTTGGGATAATGAAATTGATGCATGAATACTTTATTTTGAAGTGAAATTGACAAAAATATATATAAACTTGGAATGCGCCAAGAAAACATTAAAAGCCTCCATTTCAACATTCTTGTTTTCCTATGCTGACTTGTAAACGATCTTTGTTGGATTTTCAGAACATTATTAAGGTTGAAAATGAATTATTTTCTACCTTCAATCCATGATCTTACATTTGCATATGATATGAGACAATACTTTAGCCACTTGGTTCCTAGTAACATAAATTTACAGTCTCAGGCTGAACCCTTTCAATAAAGCAATTTATTATTTCGTTCAGTGTATCAAATACATTAAAATGGAATGAAATGGTTTTTTACCGTACCACTTGTCGTTCCTCTGCATCTAAAACTCAAGCGAGCTAAGGATCACCCGATCAACAAACTAACTAACCAGTTACCGCCTGTTAGGTGAATAATTTCAATCTCGGGACCAATTGATCTATTTAATTTACTCACCCTGACCCGAGCCTCTGTTAGATTCGTCCACATGGCGATTTCCTCCCTGGTGCTCATATCGGGGTAGCGATTCCTCGCGAATGTAGCTTCCAGTTCTTGTAGTTGCTGACTAGTAAAATGGGTACGTTGTCTTCTTTGTCTTTTGTTTTTCTTGTCGTTTTTTCCGTCGTCTGCTTCGTTTGCCTCCACTGACACTCCAGACTCAGTCTTGATCGGGTCCGACAGAGATCTGCTTGCTGAAAGAAAAAATGAAGTAGTTTGGTTTTTCTGACGTTTGTGTCGATGAAAAACGTATTTCACCTCTTTGTACAATTACGAAAGTGGACATTTTGATCAATATGTTGTGGCATTTACCTTTAGAAACAAAAAAATTACATACTTCACATGATTTTACTAGACTATGACAAAACACAAAGAGAAGATCGATCACGTGCTATTTTTCAGGTATTAAATTAGATCAACTTTTTTTCCAATACACACTGTTGATTTTCTAAAGTGACAGCTCTGATATCATCAATCCATTATCTATGTAACTGAACTTCTAAAGATGTTGGACCCTAGTGGGTTTCTTCTAGTCGGTGGTTTAATAATAGTCTATTATTTTAATATCAAACAATGAATGAGAACGTGAATTTTTTGAGTTCTTGTTACTTCATTTTGTTGAAAAATGGTTTCCTCGATATGTTTTTCCTCAAATGAGGAAAAGGATGATATCTTTAGAAGAATCAATTCAGTTTCAGTATTCAAAAACCTAAAATGATATTCAGACAATGAATATAGACAAACAAACGAAAATAGTAAACAAAAAGTAAAAGCATCGAAAATGAAGTAACTAATCTTGATGTGAAAATGATTAATGCTGAGAAATTTGTTTTGGATCTCTCAATACGATCTATGTTTATGTAGTACTGAGGATTCCAAGCAACCGATGCAAAGCAGAGCCTACTATGTACATATGCATAATATAAATTGAGGAGAGTTTTTGCCGTTCTGAAACTTTTACAGTTTCTTTTGAGGAATCCAATAATACTATTACATTTATTGACGGTTTTTTCTATATGTGAATTAAATGACAACTTCAATCCATAATTATTCCCGAATCTATTTTGTGGATTGAGAAACGAATCATTATCATCACAGAATTTTTTTAGCCACTTCAAGTCCTCCTGAATTTCTCCGCTGTCATACGAATACTTTACGGTGTGATAGATTTTCAAGTGATCGGCATATAGTAAAAATTTACACTAATTAAAGCAACTAGAGATTTCGTTGATGTATATAATGAAGAATAAAGGACCCAAATGGCTGCCTTGAGGAACTCCGGGTGATATCGTGAAGAAGAGTGACGTAAATCTATTTATGGCCACCATTTGTGACCTATTACTCAAATAGGACCTCATCCATCTCAATTAAGTCATTCACAGCGACTTCAGCAAGTCTCTTTAATAAAGTTTTGTGACTAATCTTATCAAAGGCCTTACTGAAGTCGTTGATTCAAGAGATCGTCTTAGATATACGGTGTCTCTTCAAAAAATAAGGTGAATGTTAATTTTTCTGAAAAAATATTCATTTATTCATCAATTTATATTTTGTTCCCTTCATAGTAGTCTCCTCAGACATAACACACTTGTTTCAGTGTTTTTTTCACTGTGTTTTCCAATTGTAGGTATTTCCTTGAAGTCTCTCAGCGAATCGCCGTCCTCTCATGGATCTCTTCAATCTTGAGAACAGGAAAAGTCGCAGGGGGGCAAATCTGGGCAGGGGGGCAAATACGGTAGCTGAGGCATGATTGCGGTGTTGTTTTTGGTCATTATTATTCGTTAATTTCATTATTATTGTTGTTGTTTCATATTTATTGTCAACTTTTCACAATTACACATTACTATGCATATGACGTATCACTCGAAACATCATACGAGGACCTGGAGTTTCGTGTACTAATTTTTAATCACATTTTGGGGTTAAAAGCAAACTCGTTGCAACGCCCTATAGATGAAAGCTTTCCAGTGCCTCACTTCCCACATCAAAGCGAGCTGCAGAACAAAGTGGAACGTTAAACTCACGCTGTCGGTTCTCGATTAATTTAAGTTTTACAAAACTTTGTCTCCTAATCCCCACATGTCAGACTAATTATTTAAGGCAGAACCGAAATAGCGCTCTTCCTCTACTTGAGGATTAACTTTATAGCATCTGTAACTTTTTCAAATGCTAGTTATGTCGAGATTCTTAGTTATAAGACAAGTTTTCTTTCCAGGCGTGGGCTACGAAATCAATTAGATGGCCACTAAAGAGTTTAATGCGGGAGTTTTGGATAATTGGTGGCATCAGCCTCTTTATGTTCATCACTATGTTTTACATCAGAAAATTTTTGATCACCTGATATTGATATAGTTGAAAGTTACTTATTTTATAAGTTTTATCATACTTAAAATCGGTGGACTTTGGGTATATGTCTGAAGGGAATAATGTAACAGGTGGTAGAACTGTCTGAACTTTGAACCGATACCGAATCTATGTGTGAAGGATGAAATTTCAAAAGGGTGCCTGGGTTTTTATAGTGTGGTGATTCAAGTAAAATTTTTGAGCATCATCCATAAGAATAAATTCCATTTTTTTAAAGCATTTATAAATATTGATTCAAAAGTGGATTATATAAAATCAAATTTTGAAATTGTTAATTTCAACTGATCGTAGAGTCATAAGAATTTTCTACAACAGTTTTTTTTTTGTATTATAGTTCTGCCAGGCGAGATCTTGAATCATACAGAATCGTAAAATCGCTAAATCATAAAATTATCAAAGAAAATCAATTCGGATTCCAAGTTGAGAAGAACATTCCAGATGCAATTTTTCCTTTGCTGTATGAGGTTTATTGAGATATAAATGCCGGAGATATAGCAGCAGCGGTATTTTGAGGCCTCAAAAAAGCTTTCGATTGTGTAAATCACAAAATACTTTTGCGGAAACTGCATCGTTACGTCTGCGAGAGAGTTACTTTGGAGTGGTTCGAGTCCTATCTAACTGGGCGCAGTCAAGTCGTAAAAAGCGATACTATTTTAAAATATATTAATATTGACTATGGAGTGCCACAAGGATCGGTTTTAGGACCCACTCTTTTTCCAGTGTATATAAATGATTACTGAGTGGAAAAATTACTTGATTTGCAGATGACACCACCATTTTTTGGCATGATGAAACTGTTGACTATTTAAATAATAAAATAAAGGGATAAATGTAATGAAATCTTGGTTCGACTCGAATTTCCTTTCATTTAATATAAGAAAAACAAATATAGTAACTTTCAAGGGTATTCTAGAAGATATGCCTCTAGAATATGAGATGATTGAAAATAGAGGTTGCAAATTGAAGTTTGAAGCACACGTCAACCAACTGAAAAATAGAACCCCTCAGGGTGCTGAGCAATGAGAATTATTTTAAGAGAGCTTGGTACTGTCTCGGCTTTAATATCTTTGAAAAATGTGCCGTTTTTTCCTTCACGAATGTTAGCACCATCAGCAATTCTAGTCTTCATCGTGAACCCAGCAGAAGCAGCGATAGCTCCTCGCTCAGTTCCACGTGCTCCAAATTATCGGGGGCCAACATTACCGAACAATTTCGCTTCAACGCCATTGGTTATCGCGACGTACGTTTTAATGGCATCCGAATTTTGCCCGGAATAATATTTGCTCTTTCCGATAACGCGAAATCGTGTCTTTATCGACGAACGCCTTTGAAGCGGTACCGCCCCAATCGATCATCCTCCTTGTGTGACAGCTCGGCTATTTTGTTTTCGCCGACATCTTCACCTGTCAAATATTACAAAGTGATCCATTATAATCGCGCTGACGCGTTTTCCATTATTCTATTACGAAAACGATTCTGATCGATAGCTGACGTTTTTAGAGTCTGCCGATACGCGGTAACCGATAATATATCATTGTTCCATGAGCTGCAATGATTGTTTCCAAAGAGATAAGAACGTCATATTTTTCAACTACATTCAAGTGTTTCAACTAAATTATTGACAAATATTTGTCAGACCTACAATGGAAGTGAAAAACTGTACGCTATATTGAGCATTTCAAATGTGGGCTAGGTTTACTTACTTTCCGATAATGTTCGTTATCGGTACAATTGATTTATTATCAAATTGAACTGAAACGAAAGCGGAATTTTTGAAAAGATACTTCAGTGAAAAATGGTATCCATGTCTGGGTTGTGTGGAAGATGTAAACTATTCCAAAATCAGCCTGATTCATTTCAAAGGATAACAAACATGTGATATGCCCAAGTCCAATTAACTCACCATAAACGGGTCACAGACAACTCACGTAGGATAGGTTAGGTTAGGTCTAAAGTGATTGGGTCTATTCGACCCTCCACCGCAACCCGCAAGGGTTTATTGTGGCTCACACCTATTGACACTCGGCCAAGTAAACCCAGCTTCTTAACGAAGCCGATTATATTGTACGGTGAGTGGTCTTTCAGGTCAGATGGTAAAAGTACGGCTCTGCCGAACTCTAAAACCCTGATTCGGTCCCCAGCAGGGCAATCACAAAGTATGTGCTCTGCTGTTTCATCATTTCCCAAACAGAGGGGACACACACTATCTTCCAACAGTCCGAGTCTCTGCATATGATGTTTCAAATGACAGTGACCTATAAGAAGGCCTGTTAGGCATCGTAGTTCATCCCTACTATTTGGTATCAAGCTACGAAGGGTGAATAGACGCCTTGAAGTAAGCCAATCCTAGAATATTCTGCCAGAAGTCCATAAACCTTCTTGCCATTCAGGTGTTCAATCTTTGTTTGACAAAGCCTAAAGCGATATCAATGACAGGTTCTGGTCCGATGAAGCTGCATGCAGCCCCTGCTTTGGAGAGGAGTCAGCAGCCTCATTGCCAGGCCAATATGGCCAGGAATCCAGACCAGAGACAATCTGTTGAGTCTTTCTATCGAGGAGAGTCGTTTTTGGCAATTTGCTACCAATTTAGACGTTGCTCGGTAGGAGCCAAGACCTTTCAACACCGCTTGACTGTCCGAGAATATTTTTATTGACTTGTGTATGAGGTTGGATGCCTCCAATCTCTACGCACTCAATTACATGGGGTAAATTCCCCCTTGAAATACAGTCGCATAGGTTCCTAGGCAGGTTGATATCTCTGTCCTGGGTCTGCGACTGAAAACACCTGCACCAGAACCGGAAGGTGTTTTTGATTCATCTGTGAACCAATAAC